GTGCAGTTGTAAATGGGATCGACTCCTTAATTTATCTTTCTTCTGTCTTGTTGTTGGTGTATACTTAATGAAGTTGTTCATTTCATGGTTTTGGGTGCAGTACCAATGATTACCTATCACAGGTAATGAAGTACCCTGGTGGGGCACCTGGGTGGCTCAGTCGTTAAGCATCTGCCTTCAGCTCAGGTCATGATCCCAGGGTACTGGGATCCAGCCCCACATTGGGCTCCCTGCTCCACGGGAAACCTGCTTCTCCCTCTCCCTCTCCCACTCCCCCTGCTTATGTTCCCTCTCTTGCTGTATCTCTCTCTGTCAAATAAATAAATAAAATCTTAAAAAAAAAAAAAAGAAGTACCCTAGTTCTGAACACTGTACCTATATAGGCCATAATTAGAAATCTGAAAGATGGTCTTGAATAACTGTTAGAAAATATTAAAACTACACTATTCATTATAGTGGGTGGATGATGACTTTCCTAACACTGGTTCCTTGTTATCCTCACTTGTCAAGCCCTTCTGCATTACTTAGCTTTGTACGTGGCTCCCAACACCTGGATCTCCTTCCAGTTCATTACAACCACAGGCATGAAAATCTTAAAGTATTTTAAAATGCCAGTCTAACAGAGCTCAGAGCACCAACCTGAAGCTGAAGGTAGAGTTCTGGAAGAAAGGGGGGCTGTCAAACGTCGTGAGAGACAGACAATCTTGTATGTCTTTTAAAGTTGGCAATTTCTCACTGTTTAATCCCACTGGATTTCTTCTTAACAGACCTTCATAAGTCCCATTACATAGGGTGACCCGGCGGTTATAGTCATCCAGGCTAAGGGTTGTAAGGAGAGTAAAAATGAAATGTTTTAATTTGTGGATAGTATCATAACTTTGGGCCAAGCAAACCAATCAAAATCTTGGTCATGACAAAATCTTATTATAGTTACCCATCCCAACATGTTGGGGAGCACTATCGGAAAAGCTTAGGGTGTAGAAGGGGGGAATCCCTGCTAGATTGGCCTACACCCCCGCAAACACATGCATGCCCAGACTAGGGGTGTGTTCAAGGAAGCTCGACAAAGACACTGGACAGGGGAGCTAGAGCCCTTAGGTTAAAAACAGGAAGATTTGGAGGAAACAGATAAATAAAGGAAGGCAGGGGCACCTGGGTGGCTCAGTCAGTTGAGCATCTGCCTTTGGCTCATGTCATGATCCCAGGATCCTGGGATGGAGCCCCCATCTCGGGCCCCTGCTCAACCAGGAGCCTGTTTCTCCCACTCCCTTTGCCCCTCCCCCTGCTCATGCTCTCTCTCGCTGTCTCTCGCAAATAAATAAATAAAACCTTTAATAAATGTATAAATAATAAAGGAAGGCGGAAGAGCGTCTTGGGGAATCTTTTTTTGAGATGTGTACTAGAAAAAAAGAAACAAATTTAAAAGGAATCACTGAGGACAGGATTCTCCATGGGCTACAAGCTGCTCATTTGCTTATGCTGTGTTCCTCAATACTTCAGAGATCATTCTCCCCCACCGCACCCCCTGCCCCTCTCAGCTCACCATCGCCCGATGGTCTAGCTATACTGAACTGTTTCCAGAGACTTTCCCAGCTTCATACATGATGTTCCCTCCACCTAGGACACACTCACCACCCACCCCTCCATCTGCTTGTAGTGTGTGCCTCTGCCTCTTAGAGAATTCCCCTGACTCTTTTCTTGGCTTCACACTTACATCTATCATGATACTTTTCACATTGTATTGTAACTCGCTTACAAACAATCTGCCTTTGTAAATATAAAACGATATCCAAAAGGGAAGCTCTATTTTATTCATCTTTGTATTGTCAGTACTATTACACTGCTTGGAATATGATCGGTACTTAAGAAATGTTTGGCTGAATGCAGAAACGAATTCCAATTTTAAAACAGTTGATCTAGAAAGGATAACCAAGTCTATTCGATTCATAAGTGCGATTTCCAGACCTCTATTTTTTTTTTTTAAATAAGAGGGCTTAGAATTTTTTAAAATCCCACTTCCCTCAGGAAAATCATTTTCAGAAACATGTACAAAGAACCCAGCCTGCGTTAGAAACAGAAATATAAAGTGCCTCTCCATCTCCCAGACTTAGGAAAATACGGTCTCTGGATTTCCAGTGCAGGGACGCAAATACCATTACCTATCACAGACAATTTCCCAGCTGGAGAATCTTGAGTTCTGACTAATTAGAGTTGGGTCGTCTTGTCTTGCAGCCCCAAGCAGCTGGTCCGTACATACGTCACAGTCGTTCCTCCCGGTGGCGAAGTTCCAATAGGGCAAAGCAAAGGACTCATTGTCGATGAGTTGCTAAAAGCAAAGGGTGTGTCTAGTTATGTAACTCAATATATCAACATCAAATACAACAAGAAAGCACATAAAGCAAAGACTGGTATGGGTCTTGACCAAATGCAAAATTCAAAATACCAAAGGCATAGTTTGGACCAACCTGGAGATCCCTTTCCAGCCACAGCAAATGGTATCGGTGCCAAGAAACAAAGGCGGGGCCTTGGTGTGAGAAGTCTATGGCCTTGTACGGGCGCCCTGGTCCTAAAGCAATTGGGAAACATATTAAAGATCATGGAATAGCACTTTTTTTTTAATGCGAATCCTTACCCCAATGAGATGTGTCTGCAGAGCCAGTAAGTCCAAGCTGTTCTAATCAGAAAGAAAAAAAAAAAAAAAAAGGGTTTTGGCATTTATCTTTCTGAAAGCAAGAACAGCAACAACAAAATTCCAGAAGCAACCAGCATTTCTAGGATAAATTCTCCATCTCTCAAAAGTTTGATTGTGAACAGAGATCCAGACACATCTAGGTCGTTTTCAGCTTTGAGAGTCCCTGTCACATGTTTAATTTTTCAGTAACATTTCATTAAGATGAAATAATGTTAGCCAAAGGGCTAGATCATTAAGATCTTAATGAAATATATTTTCAAAAGATATTTTCTAACCTAGTCCTCACAAATGCACACATTTACAAGGGAAGGATTAATTAATAATAAAGCAACTTGGACTGCTCTTAGTCCTAATTCAGGCATTTATGTCACCAAAAAGAACTTTCATGGATTTTGCCTCCGCCCTCAGTCAGTTACAACCACCAGCTGACAAGCATGGTCGCCAACACTAGAAGAGAGAAAAATACATTCAAACCAATTTGGCTGGCCACTGGAACCGCCAATTTTAGTGAAAAGCTTTGGGCAATTTAATGACCCCCTTTACTGCCCATTCCATCCTTCTTCCGCTTTCATAAAAGCTTTTGATGGTTATGTAGAAACTTTAGCTGGCTTTAGTTCTTTTTCAAAGTACCTATAATAACTTCAGAGAGCTGAACTGACACAAATATAAATTTAATTCCTAGGTATGACCGGAAACTATAGTCCTCTTTCCCTCTTGAGAGAAAACCCTCTCATAAAGCAAAAATTCCTCTGAGCGATGACAGGAAAACTATAAAGGTTTATAGCCAGAAGAGCCTCCTTATCTATTGATAAAGAAAGACAGATGCTTACCTGAGAGGCAAGATTTTTAAGGACTCACACTGAGGAAAGACATGCTATCGCTTGCTGATGGCTACACAGTCCTTTTTAAATGTTTTAATTCAGAACAAAGCTTAATGTTCCCCAAACGAACAAATGAGGTGAAATCAAGCAATGGGGAACCAGTGATAAACACAAGGACAGACAATTCCAATGAGAATCTGACTATTCAAAGGGAGTTTGATGTCTTCATTCAACCCCAACAAGGGGCCCCAAAGGTGGGGATAACAGGTACAGCCAAAGAAAGCGTCAGGAGTACACAGAATAGAACCAGGAATGGATTCACATCCCCCTGGAGCGAGCTGACGTCTGTGGCGTTCACTGACTGCAAAATATCCGAGGGCGTAGCTGGTCCTACTAGATTAATGAAGTTCTTAACAAACAAGCCCCCATTCCAAGTCTTACGCAGGCCCCAATTTTTAGGATCTAGAAGGGCGGGGCACCATTTTCCCAGGCATCCACTGTAATGGTTCAAAGGGCTAATTCAGGAGGAACTCTACATTGCCGGAGCAGCTTATGCTCTTCCTTGACAATACAACTCCGAAAAAACCTGAGGATCCCCACAGCGGTGCACCATATCACAGGCACCATGAATGATGACCAAAAGTCTAAAGACTAACACATGCGGGTTTAATGAGATATGCACTTTGCACACAAACACTCTAATTCTGCACAAAGAAGCTTCATGTGCTTTAGCACCTGTTCTGTTAATTCCTCTAATTTGAGGAAAAATGTCAGAGAGGGCTCCCATGGCCAGATTTAGACATGTTTTCTTCTGGAATCAAAAGGAATTTGCCTCCGCTTCACCAACTCTTGCCTTTGAAGATTAATAGCTTCATAGAGGAGAGTTTAGACTTTGAACGCAAAACACCAACTACAGGAGAAAACATTTTCCCAAATGTCAGCCAACGTACTGGTAAACTGTGCTCCATCCTAGCTTCAGGCAGCATTTGATAATCCTCTGACTCTCATAAGCCTAACCCTTCCTGAGGTTGCTCTCTTGTTAATTAACTTGCCCTGAAATTACTTCCCCACCCATCCCCCCACAGCCCCAAACTATAATGATATACCCTCTGCTGAGAAAAAAACCCACCTAATAATGTATCTCTAACAGAGTAATAATGGAGCCACACAAAGAAATCATAAATGCTGCAGTTGGCAATCTGTGGCTGGGTCCCGTTGGGCCCCAGCAGGCCGAGCCAATGCTGGGTGGTGATCACGTAGTCGGGGTGTGTCGTGTTCTTTGCGAGGTCTAAGGCGTCCAGGAACTGCTCCCTCTCCTGAGCAGTCAAGGAATGGATATTTTTCCGAATTACCGGGGCTTTCCTGTGATTGCAGTCGTGGCCGGTCCAGCCAAACTTGCAGACTCCACAGTTGTAGCCAGCAAAATGTCCTGGTTTATTTTTAAAAGAAAAAAAAGGGGAGGGGGAGATGGAAGAGGGAGTCAGTTTATGTAGCTTGGAAGAAATTTCTGAATTTGAACTCTGGGATAAAAAGGAGGAGAAGATGAAAGTGTTTGCAAAAAGGCAAAGGAAGCCAATTTCCTTCCCTTACTCTCCTCTTGAAATGTTTGCATCTCCAAGTGAACAGAGTACTAGAGTTCCTTAGAAATACTCCCAGCAAAGAAACAATATGAAAGGGGTCACAAGCTGTCATGGGTGGACCGTGTCCCTTCAAAATTCGTATGTTGAAGTTCTAACCCCCAGTTCCTCAGTATATGACTGTGTTTGGAGCTCAGGTCTTCAGAGAGGTAATTAACTTAAAAATGAGGTCATGAGGTGGCCCCCAATCCAATACGACTGGTGTCCTTACAAGGCGGGGGGAGATTTGGCCACTAGTCATTACAGAGGGAAGACCACGTGAAGACCAAGGGAGAAGACAGCCACCAACAAAGCAGGAGAGAGGCCTCAGAAGAATCCAACCCAGCTGACACCTCGACCTGAGACTTTAGGCTTCCAGAACTGGAGGCAGAACGAGTTTCTCTTTCCTCCCCACAGCCCCAGCCCCAAGGCTGCCCGCTGTCTTGGATGGGCACGCTGCTGAGCCCTGCTATCCTGTGGCACACACAACAGGGCCCACACAGAGTGAGTGTGGCTCATTGATTTAGAGAAGGAAGAAGATATACACCCAGCTCAAGGTGGAACCAAAATAAATAAGCTGATTTCCAGGAATTTAGGTGAAATCTAACATTACAAAAGCTGGTTTATTTCACAAAGGAGACAGCGTTAACACAAAAATCAATGGAGGCCGGCAGGTCATAAAGGTGAATTAGCTGCCACGGTATCACCAAGTGCAAATCATTGCAGGGCTCCCCGTCCACGGCACAAATGTCCCTGCTTTATCTACCCGGGGAAGGAGTACTAGTCATATGAACTAATAAGCATCTGCCTGATTAGCATCTAAAGTGGAAATTATTTCAGCTTGTCCTGGACTTTTCCCTTTTTAGTCTTGATTACTGCTTTTGGTATGACCAGCACCTCAATCCCTAGGTGGTGATAAGTTACAGAGTAAACATTTAAATATTATTGGAGCAGAAAGTTGAAGCAAAAGGGGATGGTAATGCTCATCCCCCAGGGGATTAGAGGGGTTACATAAAGCATTAACATGGGAGACTAACTCTGCTCTCTTCCACCTCCCCCTACCTCCCTCCCCTTCCCCCTTTCCCCACCTTCCCCTCTTCCTCCTCCCCCTCCCTTCCTCCCCAAACCCCCTCCCCTTCCCCCATCCCCCTCCTCCCGGTCCTCCTCCTCCCAGACCTTTTTACTGGCTCTCACTTCAATCCACAGCACTTTTGCTTCATCATTTCCTTAAATTCCTCTTTGCCTGGGTTACCATTCCTGCTCTCTGCCTCATGATGGGTCGTCTACAAGGTCATCCTTGACTCAACGTGTCAGGGTCAGATGCTAGCGCCCTGAGCTCCCCTGGCACCTCATATGCCCCCTCCATTGGATACAGCACACCAACAGTAATTATCTACTTGTCTCAGGTACAGACAACTGGAAGGCAGTTACCCCACCGCCAAGGCCTGTGCTCGGCCTTATACAAAATGAATATTTGTTGCATGAATAAAAGAAATATAAAGCCAAGTCACCACGATGTGCACTTTAAAAATCGTACACTTTTATTTGTAGTCATACCTCAATAGAGCTGAAATTTTTTTGGAAAATTAACTAAAAACAAAGAAGTATAAAGCATGTGGTAGATAATCCAATAAACATAAAATTTCTTCTTCCTCTTTCTCCCTATCCTTGTGGATTAGAAGGAAAAGCAGGCCCTGTAAATAATTTTGATAGACTGTAAATACCAAAGCAGAGGTAAGCAAAAAATACTATGACCATAGTAGAGAGAGGATCATTTGAATTTCTACAGGCAAAGAAAATTTTACAATAGCATGAAACAAAATGATTAACGTTTGTATTATGTAAACAAAAATGCACAGGCCTCCTTTTCTATTAACCCAATGGATTTTTTGATGGTTAAAGAAAATGTCATTAAAAATATCATGAGTAGGAAAAATTTTTCTTAAGGTAATTTATTTGGGTTCTATGCTCCTCAAAACATTCAAAATATCCTACCTATCCTCACAGAGCTCAGTTATCTATAGTTTTCTATGCTTTAACATCGTATGAGAACGTAAGTAAAAAATACTTAAACAGAAAAAATTCTACTAGACCCAAGACTGAAACATGTTTTAGAATAGTTTCAGTTAAACATTAAAATTTACATTGATTGCTAGAGTGAAGCTACTAAATAGAAATTATTTATAAATATTTATTGAGCAATTACCAAAGTACCAGATACTATACAAATGCTCCAGAGTTACTTTCCCCCAGGGAACCTACTAAAATTGTATATCTGTTTCAAAACACCTTTGATTAAAACATATCACCTTCTCTGGCAGCTTTTACAGGAATAGAATATTTTTGAGGAGTGAATGAGAAAATGCATCCAAAGAATACTAAGTGCCCAAACTTCCAGCTACTTACCTAGAGCCAGATGACTGAAGGTGAATATAAAGCCACAGCTTTGCAATAGGAGAGTGAGTCTCTCCTTCGAAATGCTAAGGAATAGCACACCTCAATTTTATAATAATCGATTCAGTACAATTCTACATTTAAATACATAAAACTTGTCTTTGAATTTTGTTGAAATTGAGTAATTCATAACTTATGCCATGAGTTTTAATATTCCTTCACTTCCTTTACCACAATTGTTTTTGGTTGCTAGAAACAAAATGATCAATAGCTAATTATCTCCCTCATTTGTTTATTCAACAGATAATTTATTAACACCGACCGCCTAAAGGGCGGTCAAAACTCAGCATGCCTCTCTCTGTGCTCCCACTTGTTATGTTGGAAGAAGTTTCCATGCTTTGTAGCTTTGGACTTCACTCTTCCAAATCTGTCATATTGGGATAAGAGTTCTACATCACAGAGTTCTCATGGAAAACAAGCCGGTTATCATATTAAGCACTTAGAACAGTATCTGGTACATAGTCAGTTCTATATTGAGTGTTGTTATTATTACTAGATACCACATAGAAGCAGTATTGTAAATATTTGTTTTCCTGCCTGTCTTCCTCGTCCACGACACTGTGGACACCTTAAAAATCATATTGCGGGGGCACCTGGGTGGTTTAGTCATTAAGCGTCTGCCTTCAGCTCAGATCATGATCCTGGGGTCCTGGGATCGAGTCCCGCATCGGGCTCCCTGCTCGGCGGGAAACCTGCTTCTCCCTCTCCCACTCCCCCTGCTTGTGTTCCCTCTCTTGCTGTGTCTCTCCCTGTCAAATAAATAAATAAAATCTTTTAAAAAAATCATACTGCGTTTTTCCCCTCTTTGTACCTGAAGGGCCTAGCATCACTGGTGCTAAATAAATGTCAGTCAGGTAGGTGATAAATGAATCAATGAATAATGGAATAAAAGGCATTAGGTACTAGAAGACACAGACAGACATAAGGCACAATGTCTTCATCCAGGGGATGAGGACGTGTGTGCAATGAACCACCGGCACAAGTCAAACTGTGGGGAAAAGTGAAAACAGGAATAAACCAAGCACCACAGAAGACAATACGATTAATTCTGACTCAGAAGACCAGAGCTGCTTCACAATTATGTTGAGCAAAGATGTTTCTTTTTACAAAACCATACTTGCCTCTGAAAAGCAACGTAGAAGGTAAGAAGAAAGAATTGGGGCAGGGAAGGAGGCAAAATGGGGGGGAAGGGGATTAAGAAGTACAAACTTCAAGTTAAAAATAAATAAGTCATGGAGTGTAATGGACAACACGAGGGATACAGTCAACATTATTAGGTAGGAACTTTCACTGCACAGTGTATACAAATGTCGGATCCCTGTGTTGTACATCTGAAACTAAGATAATATCATTTTTCAATTATAACCCAATAAATAAAAAAAAAAAGCATTTGTCTGCATGTGAGCTCACCTATGGCCCAGAAATGTAAAAAAAATCCCTTTTCCAGCATCTCTCCAAAACCTCTGCAGTGGGGCCCCTTTTATGTTTAGAGCTTCTAAACATGGTCCAAAGAATTCATGAAAATGCTGCTGACAACGGAAAAGTGTAACAACATGGAAGCCCAGCACACAAAGTGCTTATTTCTCTAATTTAGATTCCTTAGTGGTTCCCTACATCAACTTAACCTGAGTTCATTTATTCCCCTAATCTACCAATAGCGGCAGCAAAAACTACAAGACGGGCCTCTTAGAAGAGATGGCATTTTCTTACTGGAAAATGGAGAGAGAAAGAAAACTAAAGGATCCCGAGATACCAATCTATCTACCATTGAGTATGTCCTTCGGCAAAAATTAAATTTAAAAAGACAAAGTCGTAAACCTACTTAAGACTGGGAGAGCAATGGAAAAGAGAGTGAGAACAACCAAGCCAGGCACGTTCCTACATGAACTGTATCAGCTCAACCTCAGAAGGCTATTAGACTAAATAAGCTTAAAGACCACCGATTAGTGAATTTACAAGGAGCTCTAAATAGCCTATTCCTTTTAATTAGAGATTCTATTATTTTAATAACAATACTTTATACTCACAGAGAGCCTTTCATCTACAGAGCTCAAAAGATTTTACAAGTGCGGTTTCATCATTATCCCCATTTCAGAGATTGGAAAAACGGAGGCACTTAGTCACTTGTACAAACAAGCAGTTCTTTGACAACTGTTCAAAAACGATTTGGTGTGCATGTTTTCCAAAAGTCCAAAAACACAGCTGCAACTGGTATGTTCTCAGAAACGCCAGTTGGCTAGTGAGATGTGTAAGGTGAAGAGCTAATGCTAAGTCTCCCGAAATTCAGCTCTTCCTGACAATTAAGGTTGGTAGGTTTTGGGTTCCAATTTATCCCTCGAGATAATAGAGAATAGAGAAGTTCTCTCTAGAGGATTTGAGCACATCATTTAGGGGGTTTCCCCTCCAGACTTTGTTTTTATTTCTCTTTGTTAGGCTAATATCTTTTACCAGCTTCAAGCTCATGAAGACAATGGGGTATTTTTTTATTTATTTTATTTTATTTTATTTTATTGTGGTAAGAACATTTAACACATTTTTAAGTGTACAATACATTATTGCTGACTCTAGGTGCAATGTTGTTCAGCAGCTCTCTTAAGCTTACTCTCATCTTGAAACTTTATGTGTACTGATTACTACCTCTCTATGTCTCACTCCCCTGGCTCCTGGTAACTAGCATTCCATGCTTTGATTCTATGAATTTGACTTTAGATACCTCATATAAGTAGAATCATGTCTTATTTGTCTTTCTGTAACTGACTTATTTCCTGAGTATAATGCCCCTTAGGTTCATCCATGTTGTCACATACTGCACGATTTCCTTCCTTTCTTTAAGGCTGAATAGTGTTCAGTTGGATGTATATACCACTTAGCTAAAATGTGGAGAAATTGGAATCCTTATGCACTGTTGGTGGAAATGCAAAATGGCGCAGCCACAATGGAAAAACACAGTATGGAGCTTCCTCAAAAATTAAAAATAGAACTACCATATGATCTCGCAATTGCATTTCTGGATATTTGTCCAAAAGAATTGAAATCAGGATCTCATAGAGATATTAGCATTCCCATGTTTATTGCAGCACTATTCCCAATAGCCAAGACGTGGAAACGATCTAAATGTCCATTGATGGATAAATGGTCTGTTTACTTTTCCATTGCATTAACAAAGTACAGGGTCACCAATAGTCTGGTTTCCAGAAGCTAAACTAGATCTCTTCCTTAATAAATTTTGGGTGACCTAGAAGAATCCCAGCGGTCCTATTTGCAAAAAAATTATGAGGATAACAGAGAGGAGGGCTTTTGGGTTCAGGTTTTGGGATCAGGTTTAAATTCTGAAGACTGCTTCCCAAACCATGAAAAGCTACCCTTGGAAGGCAAGCAAATCACCCTTTGGGGGAGAATAAGCTGAATGAAGGTCCTATGTCTTGCTTTGGGACACATGACACATTACAGAATGGTGATTACTGTTTATACTAAGTTGGTTTCCAGCTCGGCCACTAGGACTTGGTCTAATGCCCTGAGACTCAAAGAATAAGACCATTTAGCCAACATAAGTGGAGCCATCCAGAGTTGGTATGGAAAGAGCTATGGTCCTGAATGAGTCTATACAGATCAAATCACGGAGGAGGGGAGGAGAGCCATAGGCTGGTAGTTGGTCTCAGGAGTAGCCAAGGCCTTGACAATGGCTGGCAATGGAGACCATACACACTGAGAAAGCTCTGTTCCTTGGGCTGACCTACAGACATGTGATGTCCTTAACAGTTCAGACTCACAGCCCAAACCCTCCTTCTGACCCACTGTCTCCTAGGTATATGTTTATCGTCCTCAGAACAGGGGATCCCTTTTTATGTTAGGAAGTGGGTCACTGTGCCCCTAACTTCTTGTCACTTCTGGAGGAATATTTATAGGTCTACCTCCTGGAGAGGGAGATTATAATTATCCTTTTCTATTCTGCCATTCTCTATTCTCTCCATCCTCACCTTTAAAAAACAAAACAAAACAAACTTGCCTACCAGGTCAAAAATATAAAGTAGATGATGATAAGAAGAGGTAAGAGTTATATCTGATTTCTTAACATCTTCTGCCCCAGGATTCCATAAATGGAGAAGCTCCGCCGTTGTAAGCGGTAGCACTCTATCGTTGATTTGGCCTGGAAATAAGTGTTCTAGAAGAACTTTTGAGTCATAGACAAAGAAGTTACTATGTAGTGTGATTTTAATCACACAGGTAATATGAAACCTGCTGCTTCTCAGACAAAAGCCAGGAGAATCCATGAGATAATGTCTATAGAAGACAATGTTCAATTAGCTCAGAAAAAAATGGATAGTATATGTTCAATATGCTGTTTAAAACTTTCGTCACAATGAATACCCAATGCAAAACTGAGCTCCTTGGAATTGCAGAATTAGTATTATGACCACAAAACGATTATACAGCCAGAATTTTTTGCCTGTTAAAAAAACTAACACCATTCCTACATCAACATCGCAGTCCTTTGTACATTTCCTTAGTTTACCTTTTTATATCCCTACACAGCCCCATTATCTGGATTCCCTATGTGCCGGCATCCTATGAGAATGTAAGCAAAAAATAATAATTTAAGAAGGAAAACTTGGTATGCAGCTGGGTGGTGTAGAACAGTGGCCAAGGGCTTTGCTAATGTTGCCACATGCACTTTCTGTGCATCAAATGCTCTGCCAGCCTTTGAGTGTTTATCACCGCTGTGCATGGCTGCTGAACACAGGCAGGCGCTACTGAAGAGGATTTGAGAAGGCTCAGAAGAGCTGGAGGCATAAGAAATGCACAGAGATTTCGAAGAAGTCATAAGAGAGACCAAGGTCTGAAAGAGGGACACCGAGCAAATGGCGGAATGCCCACAGCCAACCCAGGCAAGAGCAGAAAAAGCCATTGTTATCTTGGGATTCTCCCTCCCCAGCTCGCAGAAGCTCTGTCCCACCACAGCCCTCCGACTGTGGCAAAGTGGCAACCCAGACACAACCTTAGCTAACAAGATGTACTCTGCCTGAGACCCGTTCCAAACACGAGAAACGCTGAGGCTAGGACCGTGGAAACACCTGCCTTGGATGCCTGTCTTCTAGATGCCAAGGCTACCCATCCCCCTCTTCTACAAGTGCAGACCCATTTCAGAAGCGGAGGCCACCGAATCCATCTTGAAAGGACTTGCTCTGAGCTTCAAAGCTGACTCTGGAGCTCGTTAGCTTCCCCCTTCCAACAAACAAGCCAATGGCATGTTGGCATGAGTTCACATAACCAGGCTTGGCCCATGTAATATCCATTTGGTTTCCATAACTAGATGTAACAGAGGGTGTGAAAAATAGAACCAAGACATCAGCCCGACTCAGTTCGCTGCCTGTGAAAAACAAACTTGGTTGGCCACTTAAAGCCCAGTCTAACAGTTTTAAGAGTCTCATCTCCTCCTGAGAAGGGGCTCCTTTCCCAACTGGGGCCTCCCTACCCGGATCAGGGCATGGCCGGGTCTGCCGGCCTCCCTCACCTGTGCATCGGCAGGTCCGGTGGAAGAACTTCCTCGGCCAACCTTCTCTGTCATCCCGGTTCCGTAGCACGTAAGGACCGCTCCAGGGCCTGGTGTCAGCTTGCACCTCCATGCACTGGCCCCGGCCCTCCTGGGAGCCACAGATGTTGTCGGGCTCCGGACCCAGCGACGGGCAGCACTCCTTGGTCATCAGGCTGTCCACCGTCATGCAGACCCGGGGAAACTGTGCACGGGCTCCAGGCAGCATCCCACAGCCCAGGCAACTGAGCACAAGCCCCCACCCGAGAGGGCTCATGGCTTTATCAGCAGAACTCCCTCTTGCTTTCCACTCCCTGATTCTACCCTGCCTTTCTCGTCTTCCACTCTCGAGCGCTTGAGCGCTCATTTAGTTGATTTTTGGTTTTGGGGGGTGGGGGAGTTGATATCGTTTTGTTTTGCGCTCTATTCCTCTCCTCTTTAAAAAAATACCTGCAAAAATCGCAGAACCCACGTGAGTGCACGTGTGTACATGCACACGCACAGACTATTTTATGTGATTCAAACAACTAAAACAAATTTAAGGCCATTAGAAGCGCCTCTAACAGCCAGATTTAATGAGGGTAGCGCTTCTCACCATCTTTCCCCCGTTAAATCAGGCTTTGTCTAATTGAGTTAATTTACGGTTACTGCAGTCATACTACTTATTATACCGGTATTTCTAAACCCCTCCTTTCCTCCTTAGCCCATAACTTTAATTGCCTTGAACTCAGTTCAAAAGCCAAACACCGTGCTGCCTTTATTCGGTCTGGCTTGCCAAACCACGGGGCCTTGTGGGGTTTGGGTAAGGGCTGGGAGAAGCCATCATTAGGGGGATTAGGATTAGAGAGACCCTCATTGTTAGCACATGACCCAAAGCGCATAATGAAGTACATACAGTTGCTGGCTTTGTTTCCAAAGGGCAAAACCATCTTCATTATCTGGGCTCATGTGCCCCAGCCAAGCTTGTGACCTCAGACTTCCCCGGGAGTCAATAGATGCAGTGAGCTCCTCGTTGTTGTTAAAAGGCTTTTACAGACAAGCGTGCATTGCTAACCACAATCCACTTCTGACTGCTCCCTGACATGCTAGAAAGACCACTGCAGGAGGTCACACAGCTTCAGAAATAAAGAAACATTTATTTAGGGCTGACATACAAGGAATTGCTTTGTCCCGCAATTAAGGGCCCCTTTCCCTCTAAATGAGAATGTACTGTTCTCCTATTCAGTACATCGAGGCAGTAGGTTTTTTTTTTTAATTACCCAAAGTAGCATGCCACCAGAAATTCCAAATTATAATTGTCTGATTGTAAGGAAGGCAGTGAGACAATTGGGAGCAAGGCCTTGCAAGTGACATCTTTTGATTCATGTTCAAGTTGAACGTTGTTAGGCTTCGGTCTAGAACAGAATGCTTCCCCCCGGTGCTTCTGGGAGCAGCGAGGGGAGCGTCCTGACAGGCAGTGATGGCGACTGTTAGAGCATCGTTTTACCCCTTCGTGGTGGAAACAGGACTGACTTAGGTCCGTTAGAGTCTGTGTAGACAGCCGACATGCCCCGGCTTCCGACGGTTTCCAAGAAGATATTTGAGCATAAAGACAGGATGTTCCAAAGAAAATTCCTAAGGTTAAAAAAATGTTTATACAGATGTTCCTCCCCTCTGCACGTCTGTGTCATCCCCGAGATTTTAAGTTGTTGTGACTCATAAATGGCAATTCTCATCTCTGATTTACTCCGATGCCAGCCAAGACCCAAGCCCACAGAAGCAACATCTCTGAGGCTGTGGCCAGGCCAGGATTTGTTACAAGTTCTCTAAGCCGTGTTAATGTGCAGTCACGGTTGAGAAGCACAGGGTTAGAACAAAGCAGGGTTCCAAAGGAAATGTTGGAATAGAGTCAGCTGAAAGGTTCAATGTGTATTCCTTTCCTGAATCACCATAAACTGAGGGGCTTAAAATAACAGAAATTTTTTCCTCTCATAATTCTGAGGGCAGAAGTGCAAAATCAATGTGTTGATAGGACTGCACTCCCCCCGAAGGCTCTAGAGGAGAATCCTTCTTGACTCCTCCAGCTTCCAGTGGCTGCCACCATTGCTGTTTCCCTGGGTTGAAGCAGCATCATTCTAACCTCTGCCGTAGTGACATGACCTCTCCTCTTCTATCTCTGTCTCTCCCCTATGCATCTCCTATTAGGACACTTGTCATCAGATGTAGAGCCCACCTGGATAATCCAGAATGGTCTCATCTTGACATTCTTTAGTCAATTACATCTGTAAAGACCCTCTTATCAAATGAAGTCACCTTCACAGGTTCTAGGGTATGGACATAACTTCTCAGAGGCCACTGTTCAACCCCCCAAATTTTCTTTGGAACATTACAGCTCTGGCCCTGACCTCAGCTGTGAGCCCCAGACGCATATATCCAATTTCCTACTTGACCTCTCACTTGGAGATCTAGACATTTCTCAATTAACATTTCAAAATAAAGTTTTACTCTCTTCACCCAATTTTTTTCTCCATTAGTCTTCTTCTTCTTAGTTAAGGAGCCCCAGCACAATCCTATTAGTGGTCCTTGATTCTTCTTTTTCCCATCTTCCCTATATATGCTTCCCAATGCACTTAGAGTAAAATCCAAGGTCCTTTCCATGCACTAATCAAAGTGAAGGCCACAGATCCACAAACATGTGTTCCTGGTCTGCATCAAAATAAATACAATAAGGACAGAAATTAAAAGTGAGCATTTAGAAACTATCATGGCGATTTGGCATTGCCACAATGTTTAAGCACATGATCAATGGGCTCATCGCATTGAAGAGGAGTCTAGTTAGGAGGTTGTCAAACTTGCATGGACATGATCTGGTAGCATAAGCTACAGACTAATCCCATTGGGTTGCATGTTGGCCTGTGGCTGAAAAAAATTTTTTAATTATTTTTTAAATTTTTCACCGTGGATAGTTTGAACAGAACTGGCATGTAAGGTCCTCCATGAGCTGTGCGTTGCCCACCTCTCTCTCCCTCTTGCTCTGCCTTCACAGAGCACACCCATCACTCTAGTACTCAGCCACGTCAAGTTCATTTCCACGTTGGTCTTCCTCCTGCCATTCCCTCTGCCTGGAATGTTCTTCAGAATCCTCCTTGTCACTCAGGTGTCGGCTCAAATGTTAGCTCCTGAGAGAGGTCGTTCCTGACCACTCACTCTACTGTGTCTACATCAAGCCCCCTACTCTCCACCGCATTGTGTTATTTTTCTTCAGAACACTTATGACTGTCTAAAATTATCCTGCTTGTTGGTTTAGCTGCTGATAGTCTGTCTCTTCTACTCTGGTATAAATTCCAGGGGAGCAAGAAATTTAACCATGTTGCCCTTCCCCGGTGCTAAGAATAGCATGTGGCAAAGAGAGGCTACTTGATAACAGTTGGTGAGTAAACATCCTCAGTTCAATTTTTTATGTTCATCAGAAGAGTCTCACCATTACAGGGATTGACTTTATACAAATTAAGTGTTCTTATTTGACTATATAAAATAAATTTAGACTATTAAATACCACTATTATGTTAAGGGTTCCTTATAAGATTTGTTACACTACTAAAAATGTTTGAAAACCACTGGTCCAATCCAACACTCCAGCCTTGGCCCCCACCACATCACCACCAACAACAAATTCCCTCCTCACTATTTCTGACAAGATATCAGCAGCGTCTGGTTAAACCCCTCTAATAAGGAGATTCCTTTAAGAAATAATTCTAAAGGTTAGGAAACTCGTCCTTTTTAATAAGTATTTAATATTTAATATAATTTGAATTTAAATATAAATAGTGAAAATTCCCTTCACCAATGTTTCCAGCAAAAGCCCTTGGGAACTCCCCCGACCCCAGCTCCCTAGAATGGGTACAGTCCATTTTCCACAGAATTTTGTTCCTTATCTTCTCTTTTTTCAGACTAAATTTCCTTAGTTTCTTCCATTTTTCCTTCATATGACCAATTTTAAATCCTCCCATTAGCCTATATTCTCTTTTTCTGGAAAATTCAGTTTGCCGTTTGACCCCATGGTGCATGTTTCCTATAAGTTAATTCAATATTCCTGATACAACCTAAGTAAAGATGACTAAAAAACTAGCTCATGAGGTTTGCTTAGCAGCCACATCACTCATCAATCTTGTTATCTGTTAGCTTAAGCTAAGTCAGGTAGCAATTAAGACCTCAAAATCTCATTGGCTTGTGAAACAGTGTCTACCACCCATCAGCTCTGGTTATGCTCCACATTGCCTTCCCCCCCAGAACTCAGGGTGAAGGAGCATCTTTTCCTTACTCTCCTGATACTGCTTGTCTTGTAACAAAGAAGTCAGCGATGGGCCACTGCTTGAAAGGAGTCTACCTCGCTCATTTCTGCTCACATTCTATTGGCAAACGCACGTCTCATGGCCAAGACTGCTGTTCTCAAAGACAGGGGCTCTGTAAAGAGGACCCCTCCAGGAGGGTCAGCAAGTATTTTATTGCATTTTAAACCCACTTAAATCCCTACTCTTCTTTCATATAGCTTTCACGAAGCTTCGTCAAAGTCAAGTGCCTCTCCTATCTCCGTCCCCTATTCCTTTCCTCTGGACTTGCCTTTGGGGTCTGTATTAGTTTGCTAGGGTGGCCATAACAAAATGGCACAATAAAAAGAAATTTATTTTTTACAGTTCTGAGGGCTAGAGGTCCAAAACCAAGGTGTCAGCAGGGTTGGTTTCATCTGAAGCCTCTCTCCTTGGTTTGCAAATGGCTGTCTTTTTGCTGTCTCTCCTCCTGGTCTCTCCTCTGTGCAAATGGGCCCTAATACCTCCTTGTATGTCCAAATTTCCTCTTCTTGTAAGGACGTCAGTCAGATTGGGTTAGGGCCCACCCTAACAGCTTTGCTTTAACTTCACCTCTTGAAAGGCCTCATCTCCATATGACAGTCACATTCTGTGGTACTGGGGATTAGGGTTTCAACATGTCGATTTTGAGGGAACACAATTCAACCCATAACAGGGTCAAAACACGAGTTTACTTTTATCTCTATTAAGTTAGAATTATCTTTTGATATCAAGCCGTCTGCCAACATGAAGACATGTCGTGGGAAAGCACCAGGTGGGACTTCCAAGGCATTTTTGATGTGATGTAATACACCTCACGGTGCCATTTTATGAAGATCCGGGGGAGAGATTTCTCACAGGGCTCAATATCCAGGAAAGCTGTACTTTCACATAGCAACTAGCTTGTCCTGGACTTTTAAACCCCTTGGATCTTACAATGGTGTTTCTTTCTCTGCCTTGACCAGTTATGAAGCTTAGAGCCAGTTTGCAGGCCCCATGTCAAGCAACTGATTCACACAGTACTTATCTAGTTTGATATTTTCTTTCCCACATGTTCCTGGATTCTGGGATTCTTATTTTTATCCTTTTGCAAATTTATGCATTTTTCCAGCCTATCTCAA